ATAAAGCAGCTACAGTTTCACTGTGAGACATGCTTTTGGCTGTTTTTTCCTTTGTTAGAAAAGCAAAGTCTGTGCTTTAATAGTATGAGGCTTTTGATAAAGCATCTTAAACAAATGTATCCATGCAAATAAGGTATTTCCAAAGAAGTTTAGGAGGAGAGATGGTATCGGTATCGGTATCGGTAATCAAAAAGAGGTATCAGTCCATCCCTACTATTTACAGATCTCTGATTTCTGCAGCAATAGTTGAGTTATTGAGATGAAGCTGCCACCACGTCTCTTAAATATGTGCAGATCATGTACGTTGTGCTAAAGGGCATCGACCTGAAACGTCTCTGTAAAAAATCAAACTGGAAGACTGGTAAGGATTCGATTTGTGTTTCAGACCACCTGACAGAGTGATGGGCAGGTTCACAATCAGACATGTCATCTTACATGTCAGCAATCAGAGGTGTTTACAGCTGGATGGGGTGGAGGGGACGACAGCATTGGTGGGACGGTACGGTTCTGTGTGCATAGTTACCAAAGAGAGAAGAAGTCCCACCTCAACACAGCCGGTCGGTCGCAGTGTAAAGTAGCTACCAATGAAACCCGACCACAAACGGAGAGGAACAGGCGGTTTGAGGAGCCTCAATCTTGCTAATGGTGACGTCTCATTAACATGCAGGTGGCCTTAAATAGACTGAAACACACAATGAATGTTTGTGTAGCTGTTCATGTTTGGTGAATTTGGCTTTGAGCATTTGAACAAGCAACCCTCAGAAAAACAGTGAGGTATGTTGAGGATAAAAGAAAAGCTGCTGTACATCTGTGTTTCCACCTGCAGACGGGCTGCGTCACTCAGACCATCAGTGCAGCTTTGACTGACTGTTCCCACAGAGAGGCCCAGACAGGTTACAGACGAGAAGCCTCTGTGGTCACGCTGACAGCCTCCCTTTCCCTGGAAAGAAGAGTAATGTATATCCTCTCAGCCTCTAGGAGGCTCTTCCTCTTCCTGACAAGCAATCTGACTAATTGACTCATGCTGGTGACACCCGAGAACCATGGCTGCAGGTGGATCAGTGGTTAGCACCGTCGCCTCACAGCTAGAAGGTCGCCGGTTGGCGTCCCGGTGAGGACACCCGGGATCTTCCTGCGTGGAGTCTCCATGTTCTCCCCGTGCAGCGTGGGTTCTCTCCGGGTTCTCCGGCTTCCTCCCACAGTCCACAAACATGCTGAGGTTAATTGGTGATTGTAAATTGTCCGTAGGTGTGAATGTGAGTGTGCTTGGTTGTCTGTCTCTAAGTGTAGCCCTGTGATAGACTGGTTACCTGTCCAGGTGAACCTGCCTTCACCCTGAGTCAGCTGGGACAGGCTCAGTGAGGATGAAGGTGTAGAGATGATGGATGGATGGATGCCTGAGAACAGCTTGACAGGCACAAGAGAGATCAGAAATAACTTTGCTGCACATGCCAAAGAAATTCTGAATTTCTTTGCTGTGGTTTTTGTGATTTGTAAGAATCTACAAACAGCCCAACACAGCGGGGCATTGCTCCGGAGGGCTTGTTTGAGCTCTGCTATCAACTGACACGTCGCTGTGATGAGAGGGACCTGAGTCCACTGTAGGCCAGCCGGACCAGGACCACGTCCCTCCCTAACCTGGCTCCTAGTCTGGCCATTGCTTCACATGATAGAGATCAGAAGTTCTTCCTGCTTTTATTTCTGTGGTCATGATTTCCATGGAGCAGAAACTGTGTGATTTAATAAGACCCTGGGGATATTTATGTAATGTTGTTTTTTTTTTTGCTGACATGATGTCACTGGTAAACAGGAGACTGAGGGATTTAGGATTAGCAGTCCACTGACTCTCCACCGACAGCATGCACATTTAAACCGAGTATAACAAGATGCAATACATTCACTGAAAGGTTTATTTGATTTGAATTAACTCAGTGTTTAACAGTCTGCATGGAGTAGTTTCCTACAAGGGACAGCTTATTACCAATATATGGCAAAAATAAGGGTAGCACTGATGTCACGGATATAAGATGAAGATGCAGAAGCTTTGTCAGCCTTTGAAGATTTTTTTTCAACAAATTAAGCAAATTTAATGAAAATGAAATTTAAAAAATTGAGGGACGCATGTAGCACATGTAGTGCAATCTGAGTTCAACCTCCAGCCTTGAACAAGCTTCTGATAACTGAGCATCATCACGGTCGTGTCGTTGTGCTGGAGAGCATCAGCTGGTGCAGCCCTCTGCTTCTGTGTGAACCAGCCTGCTGGGAGCTGCACGAGGACAGCTTTACCTCTGAAGTGACACTAATTCTCTACACATTCACTTCAGGGTAAATGCTGTGGAATGATGCAGAGAAGCCCGTCTCTTCTGCTTTTGCTTCCGGTGAGCGAAGCCACAGTGAGAAAAGGAAAAGCGTGACTGAGCATAGAAGCAGGGAGGAAGAGAGGAACGGCAGCGGCTCCAGGAGACGACGTGGGACACTGCTGTTGGCTGTGCGTGTGTCACGGCGTCACGTATGAGTCACACATGATGATGGCATCCTCATCTTCATTCCAGGTCCGTCTCTGTGAAGCAGAGCCTGAACACCAAAACAGCACCAAAACGCTTTTACTGAGTGACAGTTCTGTGGTTCTGCTCGACCGATGACGAGGGCAGCAGCTTCACCTCAGCAGCTCGCTAATGAGGCGAGGAGGGCTGATCCTACTCGTACACACAGACATGTGTCGTGGCTTACCCCACAAGCCCCGCCCCTTCGCCTCTGGTTTGTTAGCTTGTGTTTACCTCGGTGCTAATCCGCTCCCCTTTCACATCCCCCTCCTACTGACTCTCTGTGTTACTCCTCCCTCTCTCCCCTCAAAGCCAGCAGGCTGCTGTTTGATCCAGACTGCTTGTTACATGATCTCCTGGAATACGATGTTCCCTCGCTGCTCCATGGCTTTTTTGTTTGTTCTCGCTTTGCAGTGCAGAGGGCACAGAAGAATGCCAGCGCTGCACTGAGGCTACAGCTCCTGACCTTTCCTTCCCCTTCCCCGTCTGTGATCTTAACCCATCTATCCGTTGGTCTCCCTGTTCTCCCTGTTCATGCACTGTCGATAGCCCCTCACCCCCATCTCCTGACTATTACTGCCGTCCCCTTGACAATGTTACCATGCATTAACTGGCTGCAGCCTTTCCTTGCCTTGATCTCCTCCACCTTGCTCACTCGAGGCCACAACTGTCCATCCAGCTGTTTGTGTCCAGACCACCACACTGTGGACTGCAAAGGCCAAGGTCTAACTAGAGTTCCAGACTCCATCCCTCTGGATGTTCGTCGTCTCCTGCTCTCCAATAACTGGATTCCTTGGATCCCCTCTGACTTTCTAGTCCTTTACAGTGACCTGGTCTACCTGGACCTGAGGAATAACTCCCTCTCCCAGCTTGAGCCAGGGACTCTGAGCACATCTTCTAGACTGGTCTTTTTGGACTTGGGGAGCAACAACCTGACAGAAATCTCTTCTGAGACATTTGGGGAATCAAGGAGTCTGATCAAACTACGACTGGGGAACAACCCCTACCTAACCATGGTAGGCATGGACGCTTTTACAGGGTTAACTTCTTTGAGGGAACTGGAGCTGGAGCGGAATGGTCTCACGGTGCTGGATGTAAGAGTCCTGGAACCCCTGCCCTCCCTCCGGATGCTGCGTCTTGAGGGCAACCCCTGGCTTTGCAACTGCCACTTTTCCAAGCTGTTTGTATGGCTGAAAGAGAACCGGCACAAGCTGCCAACAGGTATGATATAAGCTGCTTGAAGAGATGGTTGTTATTATTCTAGTGGGATGTATGAGGTACTGATCCACAGTCAGTGTATTACTGACTACTGGCATGTCCCCAGTTTGAAGAAGCTGACAGGAGGAAGAGGGGAAAGGCTCGGCACTCTTTTGAGGCGATCAGACTCCACTGACAGCAGTAACTGATGGCTGGAGCTCAGAGGATTGTCCTCTAATCACAAGGATGGGGGTTCGATCCTCCTACATGTCAAAGTTTCTCTGGTCAAGACACTGAACCTGAAGCTGCTCCTGATGGCAGGCAGCAGCTGACATGGCAGCTCCGTCACCACTGCTGTGTGAATGTGTGTGAATGGGAAACACTGTAAAGCGCTTTTAGAGGTGCTATAGAAGTGCAGACCATTTATCGCTTCCTTGGTCACTTAGTTTGCCTGATTTTTCTATTTTTTGGTGTTAAAACAACAAAGTTGCACAGTATTTATCTGGGAACCTTGTGTTCTGCAAAGTAGAATTGAGGTTTTTGTCAATGAAGTCTCGTCTCTCTGAAGTGCTCCACTTTCCCGTCCAAAAGACGAGGAAGTATCTGAAGCATAGTGAGGTATATACTTAAACCAACATTGTTATTTTTTCATTGTACATTGAAATGTAACGTGGACAAGCTCCGAGAAATGGCAGAAACCTGTCGTCTCTTCACTCATGCAAGAAAAAGCTATTATAGATTATCTGTAGTACCTGGTTGCACCACCAGGTGGAGCCTCTGACTACTCAATGTGATTGCAGTTCCATGTTGACCAGCAGAGAGCACTGTGGAGGTCTAGCTAGCAACAGGCCACCATGACAAAGACTTGTGTGACACTTGCTGGCCTCCAGCACGTGGTCCAGATGAGCCAGCACTGATCAGAGCAGCGTCGCCATGGTTACAGAGCCACCCAGATCAGCTGTCTGCTGCCTGAAACAGCACATCAGCACAAGTCCACTCTGCTCAGTTTGTCTAATCAGTCATCCAAATATTGACTGATATTGCTCCCAATAGTTGATTAAGAAAACTATTCAAAGTCTGCGTCCTCAGTGTTCTACACGTATCCTTCCCGTCTGACAGCGAAGGGAAGCGAAGGACGGAGCTTCGGTTTGTGCCGATACCAATCAGTCAAAAGAAAGCTGTGATCAGCCACAGTCCTGACCGCTGACATCAGATTAGGATACCCCTACTCATTATTCACGCTGCCATTTCAACAACAGGTGCACACATTCCCAGAGTCAAGCATCTATCAGCCTGCATTGATTTTCAATTCAGTTCAATTCAGTTTTATTTGTATAGCGCATATTTACAACAACAAGTCATCTCATAGCGCTTCACAAAGGCAGAAACACCCAACAATCCAAACATCTGGATTCTCTATAAGCTTCAGCAGTCTGCTGGTGGGACGGAACCGAAAACCCCCACAGGGGAAAAAAAACCTCCGACAGAACCAGGCTCAGGGAGGGACGGCCATCTGCCTCCACCGGTTGGGTGGATGTAGGATGAATTATAACATTTAGTTTACAGTTAAACAAGTTATTAGAAGTTAAATTTTGGTATCAAAGCTCCATCACTTTGCAGGGAAGTTCACCAATTTCCTTTCTACCCTTTAGGTCAGTAAAAACATTGCTGCGTTGCTTTTTAACTTGGACCATCACGGGTCTTGAGATTTAAATAAGAATCAGAGAGAGGAGTGCAAGGCAGCCTACACACCGTAACCACAGGCTCCTGTTTGCATCAGTTATGTCAAAGGTGAACAAGCAACATGCCTTATTCAGCGCCACGGCACATCGGATGCCATGACACTTCAACACTGACACCAACTGCTCATGTCTAGATGTCCTGCTCACAGGAAACAGACACCCTGCACATGCATTTGTATGTCTGTCAGCTTTTTGTCTGAGTGCATGTGGTGCACATACTAATGAACATGCAGAGGTTCTGTCCAGTGCTGCTGCTCAGACGTGATCATGAACGTACCTCAGTGGCAGCGCTCCCAATGTCTGTGTTAGAGTACGATATTCTGTTTTTGTTGTCCTTGGTGGGTGTGTGTGTGTGTGTGTGTGTGTGTGTGTGTGTGTGTGAGACAGCAGGGAGACTGTTTGTATATGTGGCTGTCTCCTGCATGTGTGTGTGAGCAGAAGTCTGGCTGTCTGTTGTAGCGCCACGTGACTGGAATAGCACCAAGCGATGAGGTCACTGAGTCCCCTCCATGTGGAAAAGCCCTCCTGGTCCTACAGTGACTCACACTCTCACACGCAGAAACAGACACATACTCATTTGACAGTGATGTCTAGTGACTCCTGGGTACAGCAGAGGAATCAGGATGACATGGAAGTGGCTCTCTGCACACACTGGACCAAATGTTTTGAGGTGTTAGTGTGCATTAGAACAGAGAGCTGTGTTCATTCACCCTGGCTGGCAGAGACCACAGAGCCTCTACCTCTAAAGTATAGGTGTTATGTTATGGCTATGAGTCATGTTTAACCACATGTCCCGTCTGGTCTCTAACCTGTACATCAGTCTGGTCAGCAGTGTCAATCAATCAGTATCCTTTATTTAACCAGGTCAAAAGAAAAACTCATTGAGATTTAAAACCTCTTTTTCAAGAGTGACCTGGCCAAGACGGCAGCACAAAACACATTCCAGCAACCACACGAAACACAAAGAAAACCCAGTTCACACGCTGCAGAGAAACCAGAGCAGGATTACATGGCTGCAGCCACAGGATCCAGCTGAGCTTGTTTCTGTCTTTAATAATCGTCTTGAATTTCCCCAGAGATACAAGACGTGTCAGTCTCAGGTCCGTCTGCACATCATTCCAGGAAGACGGGTCTCTTTGCCCAGTTCGGTTCTGACCCTCGGACCTGCAACTGTCTGATGTCCTGAGAGCGCAGGCCATGTCGGCTGAGGTTTCTACACGTGTAGGCACAAATATGAAGGCAGAAGTCCAAGAATAGCTTTGTAAATAAGAGAGTGTACGAGCACACACAGATGGACAATGTGCGACGGCGTATGAGGGACAGTGATGTACATGATATACAGAATCCAGTTTCTATAAAAGCTGACCAGGAGGGGCGCCGCTACAGCTCACCTGGTTGAGCTGGGGTCCCATGTAGAGGGGCTGCAGTCCCCAACGCAGCGGTCGCGGGTTTGAATCCCGCTCATGGCCATTTGCTGCAGGTCCTTCCTCCATTCTTCTCCCCACTTCCTCTCTCTCTCTGTCCTGTCGAATGAAGGCACAAAGGCCAAAAACAAACAACTTAAAAAAGTGTTCATTCATGAAAAGCAGCTCTCTGTAGTCCAACAAGAGTGAAAACTGTTGTGGTGATCAAATGTTTTCTGACTTGCAAAGAAAAACACGACTTATTTCTATAAAAGTTTCAGTTTCAGCTGAGAGACAAGTTAATCGATGTGCAATTTAAAGGACAGGTTCTCATCAAGCAGGATCCATCCATCCATCATCTCTACACCTTCATCCTCACTAGGGTCATGGGGGGCTGGAGTCTATCCCAGCTGACTCAGGGTGAAGGCAGGTTCACCTGGACAGGTAACCAGTCTATCACAGGGCTACACTTAGAGACAGACAACCAAGCACACTCACATTCACACCTACGGACAATTTACAATCACCAATTAACCTCAGCATGTTTGTGGACTGTGGGAGGAAGCCGGAGAACCCGGAGAGAACCCACGCTGCACGGGGAGAACATGGAGACTCCACGCAGGAAGATCCCGGGTGTCCTCACCGGGACACCAACCGGAGACCTTCTAGCTGTGAGGCCACGGTGCTAACCACTGATCCACCTGCAGCCCCATTCAGCACTGACTGAAGCTTAATCCAATGGGACTGAACAAGATCAGATCAGTATAGATTTCTGTTAATGACCCATGAAACCCACACAGGAGGCTCAGTGATGCAGGAATGCTTGTCTCCCTTAAAAATGTAAATGTACTTCAGGGCTGCACATATATGACGTCAAAGGACACAAAACCTGCATTAATTGCACAACTTCTAACAGCAGGATGTGTTTCATGAGGGCAAAGCCTGCAGCCAAAGCTCAGGACACCTTCCATTACTGACAGTCAAGTCTTTTGTTTTTTCAGTACTTGCAGATTCCAGCTTCACTCTTGACAGACTGAATCCTCAGCGGTGGGAGAAGTTCTGTTGCATCATTTCTTGTGAGATGTTCGGTCATTCCTCAGGACAATGTGTTTCAGTTGCTCTGTGCTGGAGAGGTTGTGCTGCTCGACCTTTTTCTTTAAAATACCTCAAAAATCCTGATTTGGCAGCGTGCTTTGGATGGTTATCATGCTGCATGTTCTGCAGAGTGTCTGGGACTAAATCATGTTGTCGGCCAGTATTTCAGTACGTCCACTGAGTGGTGGTGTCATCTGTACATGCAGCCCCATCGTCCCACTCCCACATCCATAGTTCACTGTCTGGACTATGCATGTGCTTTGGTCGCCTTGGAAAGGTTCATGCCCAACATGCTGGATCCTATCTGAGCCAAGCAAATGTACCTTGATCTCGTCTGACCAAAAAATGTGCTCCTAATCATTATCAGGCTTCTTTCCCGTTCTGTAGAAAAGTGTCGTCTGCTCTCTGTGGAGGTGGATGGTCTGCCTGTCCTTCACTGTCTGAACCATGTGCCAAGTCTGTCTTTCATAACCAGCAGTGGGCAACGTTCATTTATACATTTACACTGATGCTGCAACTCTGAGTGATTTTTAGTTGATTACTGATCTTGCTGTGTCCCGCGAGCCGGGGATCGTCTGGCTAATAACCGAGCTTAGAAACCGTACGATTATTTAGACATAATACAGTCTTTAATCCTTTGACATTTAAATGATGTTGTACAGGGATGTCCTTTGCTTCTGTTGTACATTGTACGACCATGACTGGAATACCAACTGGGAAAAGCAAGAAATGGCCCCAGCTGCCTTAACGGCGCTTAGCGTGATGTCATCTAGTTTGTGCTAATTGAACTCAACACTTTTTGTGTTTATGCATCATTAAAGCAAAATAGAAAATGACAGTAAACCTGCATGATTAGAGTTTTTGGCCACTTAATTTTAGATTAAGATTTAAGCATAAACTGGCATCTTATCACCTTATACAGTTAATACGCTAACATGTTAGCAACCATCCCTGTGACCAGACCCATCATACAGAACCAGGGCCTACCGATGAATAGCCAATTCCTATTCAAAGAAAAATCTCATGTTAGCATTAGTGAGGAATTCATTTTCCAATGGAAGGGTTTCCTTCTCCAGCTGACAGGCTGTTGTCAGGAACCTCGGACTCAAAGACAAAGGCTTACAAACCCAACAGGACACGAACCTTCACATTAAAGTCGGGTTTATTGTAATAACAAAGGAGACGTGCTGTCAGACATGGCAGCACTTAAAAGAAGTGTAAGTCTAATAAAATGCTGCTTAGCTGCAGATGACAGTCCACTGAGGCTAAATGTCCACAGTTAACATGTCCTTGTGTGTTTCTCTGCCATGTCCAGCCTGATCCTCTGTCACAGCACCGGTACAGTCTGTGGCCGAGCTCTGCACCCACGTGTCTGTCCACAAAGCCCAAATGCCATCCTTCCTGGTCCTGAATAAATATGATAAAAACACAGCAGCCAGATTACAAGTAATCCTAAACACACGCAACAAAATATAGAAATCACAGCGATCCAAACTGGGCAGAAACAGATCTCTGATGCTGACACATAACATAGAAAAATCACATGTGGTCACGTGTTCCACATGTGCAAAAACCACATGTGGTCACGTGTCCTACATGTGGTGTTTCTGTGAGGACTAATGCCACAGACACAGAGTGACATCAGGTTTCATTCAGAGCACGTCGATGGCAACCTGATGAATGTAGGCCAAGTCACAACTATTTATAGCTCTGGATTAGTCTTCAGAAAAATAATGTGTTTGCAAATATTTTGTGAGGAAGAAAATGCTGTGATGTGTTGAACGTCAGGGATACGGCGCACCTGGAAGAAAAGTTTTGCTTACCAGTAAATAGCCAATATCAGTAAGATGTAAGTCTGACAGATGATCAGCTGGAAACAAACATCAGGCTGGCCAAACTTATCTGGAGGAGAATATAAAGACAGTACATTCAAACTGTCCACCCACATCGATCACAGCTCAGAGACCCACTTCCTACTTCAGCTTACTGGACTTTGGTTTTCCTTTTTGGCTGTAGTCAGACAGTTAACGATGTTTTATGAACTTCTCTGAGTCATTGAACTGCAGACTGGAATTTCAGTCTCCGTTACTGCAGGAGGGCACTTTAGAGACAGTCTGTAAAGGTCTACAGGCCTTCCAGGACACATGATGCTGCCGCCGCCGTGCTTCACACTGGAGATGGTGTGTTTGTGATCATGTGCAGTGCTTGGTGACGGCTGAGTCCAGTCACATGGAGAAAACTCTTCATCATAGCATCATGTGTTCTGAGTGAAGGACACACCTGCTCCCAGAGAAGTCACCTCTCTCCTCACTTCTTGTCATGTCAAGTTGCATTCAAGTAATTAGAAGATCCCTGATGATGGTGGAGGGAAAGTCTTTTCCAGGTCACTGGAGGAGGAAGGACACGAGCAGCGTTAGTTAGCAAAGCACCCCCCCACTGCACAGACAGAAACCCACAGAGACCTGATAGGACAAGAAGACACAGGTGAAACTAATGAGAGCAGAGCAGACAGTCACCAAGGGAAGGAAGAAGCAAAACCACAAGAGACACGTAAGGTTAGTAAATACCATTAGAAAGCAGGAGATAACAAGAAGTGACATGAAATTCCCACTCAGGCAAACAGAGACACAAACATCAGACACAGGCGAGGGCAGCTTCAGACTCATGGTGGGTCACATGGGCTGAGGTCCATCATGCTGCTGGAGATCGTAGGCTAGTTGAAAATCTGTCAGCATGAGACTGAAGTGATGAGCACAGGTGATACAGGGACAGTTGATATTTAACTGGTTGGCCTTCAGGAACAGAAGTTTACAGAAAACTTGTGTTGGTCTGTGATGGAGCTCCTGGCTGACTGGAGTACAGAGGAGTAGACGATGTCTTCTGGCCTTAGATCCTCTGGATGCTGTCCTCATGTTGTTCAGAACTATAAGTGATGGAGGTAAGGCTGTGTTGTGGTGTACATGAACACATGCAGCTGTTTCCCTGTGGAGACGCTGATGTGGAGCCTCCTGCTGTCTGATTCTCCAGGTTTGTATTTAAGTCAAAGGAAAGAGAAAACTAAGCTCCATCCCCTGTTCCCGGTTTGAGGTCTGTGTTTGTGCACCTCCGTCAGCTTTAGTGATGTTTATGGTCGTCTGATGCTGCGTTCATGGCACTCTGACATGATAGGAACATTCACTGAAACATGTTTGGCCTTTTTTAGCTTTATTAGACAGGACAGAGAGTAGGGGAGAGGACCTGCAGCAAAGGGTCCTGAGCCGGACTCAAACCCATGACCGCTGCGTTTGGGTCTCCAGCCCTGTGAACGGGCCGCCAGCTCCACCAGGTGAGCTGTAGCGGCGCCACATTCACTGAAGCATAAACATCAGCATGTCAGTGAATGAAATCTGCTTTCTGACGACTGATCGACTTTATTTCTGAGGCTTCATCAAGCACAAGTTTGTATATTTTAGGCTTTTGATGTTTTACTTTCTGCTTTCAAAGTGCTTCAAAGTTGTGAACGTCTTCCTTCAGATTCTTGTTGTGACGGTGTGGCTGGTACAGACCTGGACCGGGCTCCCTGGTCCTTCCTGGGACCACCCATGAAGAACAGTGTTATGTGCACAGAGAGATCAGGGGCTTATGGATCTTTGACGGTCCTCTGGACCACTGATGCAGCAGTTAAATGGTATGAATGTTGGGTCATTACATTCTGTAACACATTTTCTGAGGATAAGCTGCTTGTTGCTGGTGTTGCTGTTTTATGTGTGCACTTTTCTTTGTTTTATTTGTTGTGGTTTTGTATTTATGTGCGATGAAGCAGAGTGTTAGCAACGTTAGACCTCTTAAAAGATTCTTTCTCTGGAACTCTGGCCCCAGAAAGACATAAATCCTTTGATTAACAATACATTTATGATGACTAGGCCGCTAATAACTTCAATGAACGACTACTAGTTGCCCAGGAAAGTCTTTGGTCAGCCCTTGGCCAGAGAACTGCTGAGGTCCTGCTATTACTAGCTGTTCACCGTGGTTGTTGTAGTCCAACAGGGAGCACCTTTGTCCTCTCTGACTGGGTGGAGGTGCTGGTAAACATCGTAAAGTCATTTACAATGTTGAAAGCAAAGTCTAATCTTGCTTGTTGATTTCATTCACTAAATATTCCAAAGATCAGATTTTGTTGCTCTACTGATGGTAAACCATCAGGGAAGGTGAGGTGCAGGTGATATTAGTTTTTGATAGGATGGT